ACCTAACTCACAACCCAGGCACGTGCCCTGACTGAGAATCAAACTGATGACCCTTTGGTTCACAGGCCATCACTCAATCCACTGAACCACATTAGCCAGAGCCAGTTGCTCATTTTTTTTGTTGTTGCTAAGTCATAAGTATTTCATCATAGAGAGATAAAATAATTTATTTATCTGTTCACCTGTTGGTATACACTTTCAATTTTAAATATATTTTATTGATTATGCTATTACAGTTGTCCCATTTCACCCCTTCACTCCCCTCCACCCTGCACACCCGCTCCCACCCACATTCTCTCCCTTTAGTTCATGTCTATGTGTCATAAGTTCTTTAGTTTCTACATTTTTCACACTGTTCTTGCCATCCCCCTGTCTATTTTCTACCTACCATCTATGGTACTTATTCTCTATACCTTTTCCCTCTCTCTCCTCCTCCCACTTCCCTATTGCCAAACTCCATGTGACCTCCATTTCTATGGTTCTGTTCCTGTTCTAGTTGTTTTTGTTTTTGTTTTAGGTGTGGTTGTTAATAATTGTGAGTTTGCTGTCATTTTACTGAACATGTTTTTTATCTTCTTTTTCTTAGATAAGTCCCTTTAACATTTCATATAACAAGGGCTTGGTGATGATAAACTCCTTTAACTTGACCTTATCTGGGAAGCACTTTATCTGCCCTTCCATTCTAAATGAAAGCTTTGCTGGATAGAGCAATCTTGGATGTAGGTCCTTTCCTTTCATGACTTGGAATACTCCTTTCCAACACCTTCTTGCCTGTAAGGTCTCTTTTGAGAAATCAGCTGACAGTCTGATGGGAACTCCTTTGTAGGTTACTGTCCCCTTATCTCTTGCTGCTTCTAGGATTCTCTCCTTCAGTGTAATCTTGGCTAATGTAATTATGATGTGCCTTGATGTGTTCCTCCTTGGTTCCAACTTCTTTGGGACTCTCTGAGCTTCCTAGACTTCCTAGAAGTCTATTTCCTTTGCCAGATTGGGAAAGTTCTCCTTTATGATTTGTTCAAATAACTTTTCCAATTGTTGCTCTTTCTCTTCTCCTTCTGGTACCCCTATAATTCGGATGTTGGCACCTTTAAAGATGTCCTGAAGGATCCTAAGCCTCTCCTCATTTTTTTGAATTCTTGTTTCTTCTTTCTTTTCTGTTCAATTATTTCTTTCTTCCTTCTGGCCCACTCCATTGATTTGAGTCCCAGTTTTCTTTTCATCATTATTGGTTCCCTGTGCATTTTCCTTCATTTCACTTAGGATAGCCTTCATTTTTTTGTCTAATTTGTGACCAAATTCAACCAATTCTGTGAGCATCTAGATCACCAGTGCTTTGAACTGTGCATCTGGTAGGTTGGCTATCTCTTAGTCACTTAGTTGTATTTGCTGCGGAGCTTTAATCTGTTCTTCTGTTTGGGCCATTTCTTTTTGTCTTTATGCACCTGTTACATATGAGGGGCAGAGCCTTAGGTGTTCACCAGGGTGGGGTAAGCCACGTGGCTGGGTTGTAACACTTTATGTGGCAGCGGGATCCAAGAGGGAACAATGGCACTTGCTCTACTCTCTGTCAGATCCCAGTATCCTCCGCAGCTTCCCCCAAGCAAACTGGGCCCTTCTGGCGCTGATTCCCATGTGGGTGGGCTTGTGTCCATTCCAGGACCCTGGGGGTCTCTCCAGTGAACTCTCCCATAAGGCTGGAGTCTCTCCCTGCTCCTCAACACCCACAGATGTTTTATATTGGTGTTTCAAGGCCTTATTTCCCCAGCGCTGGGACCCTGGGCTGCGCAGTCTGTCTCACTCTCCAGTTTCACCTGGTTTATCAGCACGTGAATGTGGGACTGCCTGGTTAGCCAGCCACCTTGCACGCAATGTCTCTCTTCACAATCGCCACCTCGCTGGGTCTGCCCATTGCCACCCTGCACCCGGGGTCTGCCAGCCACCACCTGTGCACCCAGGGTCCTCCCGCTGCCATCTTGTGTGCCCAGTGCCACAGGTTTTTGTACTATGACCCCTCTCTGCCAACTCCGTCCAACTCCGCCCCACCTACTGGTCTGGATGAATATATCTATTTTAACTCCTTGGTTTTTGGACTTCCATACAGTCCAATTTTCTGTCAGTTCGGGTTGTTATTTTGTTTCTAAATTGTTGTTGTCCTTATTTTAATTGTGCGAGGAGGCACAGTGTGTCTACCTACACCTCCATCTTGGCCAGAAGTCCTGGTGTATACTTTCACTGGGCCCAGTTTGTGACTGTTACAAATAAAGCTGCTATGAAGTTTTGTGTATAAGTTTTTTTTAAAAAAATATGCTTTCTTTTCTCTTTGGTCAAGATCTAAGAGTAGAATGTCTGAATCATACAGTAGGTGTACATTTGACTTTGCTCACCTTATTTGTTCTAGTAGCTTTTTTGTAGATGCCCTTCAATTTTCTATTCCAACAATTGTGCTGTCTGTGAATAAAGATAGGTTCACTTCTTCTTTTTGAACTGTGTATCATTTGTTTCTTTCTCTTGTTTTATTGTACTGGCATCAACCTCTAGTATAATATTAAATACAAGCAGTGAGAACCAAATTTCTTTTCTTATTCCAGATCATAGCAGGAAAGCATTTAGTCTTTCATTATCAAACATGACATTCGATGTAAATTTTTTGTAGAGGTCCTATACTAAGCTCAAGAAATTCCCTTCCATTCCTAACTGGCTGGGAATTTTTAATGACAATTGGAGGCTGGATTTGTCAAATGTATTTTTCTGCACCTACTAAGGCTACTGTAACTAAGTGATCATCTACTCTTTGTCAATCTCTTGACAATTTATTAATGAATTGTCACAACAAAATATTAAAGAAGACATCACTCTCCCAGTCAACAAATAATGAAACAAAGCTTACGAGTGTCTACAAAGCACAGTGCAGAGCTAATAATTTTGAAAACAGAACTCTCTCATAGCAAAAACCTGTTCCCTGTTTTCTCACTATAGATTATTTTCAGAGAAAATTTCAAAGAAAGATTAGAGGATAGAAAAATTACTTCTTGATCCTCAAAATATCTTATGAAAGTACATTAAAATTTTTATTTGTGTAAATAATTAAATAATTGCAGGTTTGGCTTTTTTACCAAAACAAGAAAGAAAACATCTTATTAAGGATGCAAAAATGCAATTCAGGAGTTAACCACTACATCACTAGGATCTTGACTATTCCTTTCCAACCAATTATTAGGCATCTGACTTGAGCAATGCACTGTAGTGAGGGTGACAAATTCTCCTATACTTTTGCACACCAGGAAATTGAAACTTCATTCATGGCTAGTGATGGCTCTTTTTCTCTGTTCCTTTAAACTTGCTTGTGATAAAGCAGTCTAGACCACAGTTCTTGAAACTAATCAGTATAAATGTTCCTCAGAAAATTTAATTAGACTTGTCATATAATCCAAAATCTACTTCTGTGTACATACTAAAAATTGAAAGAATTTGGGTATACACCAAAAATGTTGCTATATTCATATGCATGTTACCACCGAAAGGTGGAAATAAAACAAATTTCCATCAACACATGAAGGGATAAACAAAAAATGTGGTATGTACACATACTAGAATATTATTCATCCTTAAAAAAGGAAGTAATTCTGACACATGCCACAACATGAGTGAACTTTCCGGACTATGCTATGTGAAATAAGTAATAATATGACCAATATAACATAATTCTACTTTTATAAGGTATCTAAAATAGTCAAATTCATAAAATGAAGAAGTAAAAACATACCTGCCAAGAGCTGCAAGGAACAGTTCATGGAGAGTTATTGTTTGCCAAATGTATTTTTCAGTTTTGAAAAAAGTTAATTCTTTTCATGTTCATTTGAAGATGAAAAGAGTTCTAGAGATAGATAGTGGTGCTGCTTGAACCACAATGTAAATGTACTTACTACCACTGGATTACACATTTAAAATTTTTTAAGTGGTTAAGATTTATGTTAAAGTGGTAAAAAATTTAAATTTGAAACATTTTTAAAAGATACTATTTCTGCTTCTGAGATACAAATATAGGAGTGAGTTACAACACAAGATCATTTATGAAAGATATATTATCATTCACATTTATGGTCCTGAAACAATAGGATTAGAAGTAGAGGTGGAAATAGGAGAGAATAAGATTTTTGGATTGGGAAACATTGATGAACAAAGAGGGCATGGATGTGTACAAATGAGCCAATGATGACAAAAAAAAAAAATGCCTTTGGAGGAGTGGTGAAGTGAAGGGCAAGATTAGAAAAAGAAGATAATTCACAATCTGCTTCTGCACAATATCCCCCCAGCCACTAATTATTGATTATTATATGAGTAAGACTGGTGGAAGGCAGGTAAATTCGCATAATGGAAATAAGCACTTCTGTGCTACATAGTTAATAAGATAGAAAGAGCATCGGTACAAAGCTAGCCACATCATAGTCACCTTAGAAAGTTAATCACAGTACCCTTAACCCAACTAACAAATCTAAATTAAACTAATTCGTTGAACAGTATGAAACAGCATAATATACAAAACAAGGAAACACACACAAAAATTTCATGGCCTTCCTTATTCAAAACAATGTCTATAACATAAAATATACTCAATAAATATTTATTGAACAAATTGATCTGAAAACCTTACAATACCACAGGCTTTTACCGATGTTTAGATTCAGATGTTTCTGAATTTCCTTAGTTAATTCTTCTAAATTCACTATCTCACTAAACGGCAAATGTTTATTGTGGTTGTTCTTTGTCTTCAATAAATAATTTCAACTTAAGTTTTAAAGGATATGGATGTTTTCAATGAATGATAACTCTACCCATAGCCTATGGAACTAAGAAGGTATTTTCATAGTTTTTCTTCAAACACTACCTTCACATATGATAGCACAGCCCTCACCACTTCCTGTGCTGACAATTCCTGGCCTTGGTTCCTGCAGCAGGTATATGCATCAAGTAGAGCTCTCGGGTTTTGATTTACCTCCTTCCTACACACCTCTCACTGTGGGCTCACCCAGGGCACAGAAATATACTGCAGAGTCCTCCAGCTGTGAAGATGAGATGACAAGGTTGATGGAACGGTTTGCTTTCTGAAAATTCAGTGAGTAGCGACCTTCTGTGGCATTTTTCTGGTTATAGGGGTCCTGATGAATAAGGAAAATCATCACCCCATTGCTCAGCTGCTTGTACCAGAAGAGGCTAAAAAGACTAGCACTGATGTCATATGTGCAGTCCAGGGTTACAGCCTCCTTCTCCTGCACTAACTTTTCTGGTTGGCCTTGAGTTACCTTCTGGGCAATACTGGATCCTAAAGGGAAAAAAAAAAAAAACAAAACAGAAAGTTTGGGGATAAATGGTATGGAATGAAAAAACTATTTTTCACATCCTGCCACCTCTCCTTCCAAGAGTACTTATAAAACACTGCCTGGACCCCCAGTACTTAGGTCATAAAGGAAATCCATTCCAACTGGGGCATGCCTACCTAACCATATTGAAGCCAGGGCCACCTTCAGAAGGTTAAAGAGCAACATCTTTGATCTCTTCCACCACTGGGTAATAAATATCTTCTCGTGCTTCTTCAGTTTCAGGACCCTGCAAAGTGAGGTGACTCTGACAGGAAGAGAAGAAATGCTGGGCTGTGTGCTGCTACTGCCCCAGAACAGGAAACAGGGTTTCCTGGTGCAGCCAGTTGCTGTGGGTCACATCAGCCTTCTCTGTGTACCAGCTGAGAGTGTCACCCAACCAAACTTTTCCTTTTACATTAATAACTCTTAATTTTAAAACAATTACATCTAAAAAAATTAGTAAACTTGTATATTGAATAGACTGATTATTTGACTGACTGCTGTGTTCCGTCATTGTATCTGTGATGAAACTGGGTGGTGGCACCTATTTAAACATACTACATGGAATTGTTTGTATCATGATCACTTGATGGTTACATGATCTATACACTGTATTCAAAATTCACAGAACTATACACCAAAATAGACATTTTAAATATAATTTTTAAAATAAAAAATAAAATCACTGAAATCGAAATGGTAAAATATGAACTTTCTACCATCTTTCCTCACAAAAATTACAAAATTTTACAAATCACAGACTAAATTGAGCACCTATGAGAAAGTCCAGCTGTCCAGCAGAGAAGCTATACTGTGAGACAAATACAATGTAGAAGCAGAAACACCTGAGATTGGCAGCATTGAAGAGGTAGGAGGAACAATTTCACATTAGCCTGGTCAAGTGTCCCTCCTGTGAGACACAGCTCAGTGCCAAGAGAAATCTAGGTCTTTGATTTTTTTTTCATATGGAAACATTAGAGCACTGGACCAAGCTCCTAACTCCCCCAGTTTTGGGGGACACTGTCAAAGAAACACATCTCTTTCTTGCCTCATCCATAATACTGAGGTGTGTGCCCAAATGGGAAGTGGAGAACACCTGGGAGAACAGCAGCAGGGCTCTCAGTGAGGATTAAAGGATCATGGGTCCTACTAACCACAACACAGATGCCATCAGGATCCTGACCATGAGGTGATGATGATGCCTTGTCTCTGGAATCCCACAACTCACTCATAAGCACCCCCAGTGCTTAGCCTCACCCACACACCATCCCATCCAGCTACAAGTTCACTTAGGAGGGTGACAAGAGTGAGCCACCAGTAACCACAATGAGATATCACCTCTTGCCTGTTATAATGCCCATTATCAACAAGACAGGAAATAAGTGTTGGATAAATTGTGGAGGAAAAGGAAATCTTCATACACTGATAGTAGGAATATAAATTGGTACAGCCACTATGGAAAACAGTATGGAGGTTCCTCAAAAAAGGAAGCATACAGTGTCCATATGATTCAGAAATTCCTCTTCTGAGTATCTGCCTGAAAAATTTGAAAACATTCATTTGTACATAGGGGTACCTACACCCCTATGTTGATTGCAACTCTATTCACAGTAGTCTCTACATGGAAACAATCTAAGTGTCCTCAGATAGATGATTAGATAAAGAATATATGGTACATATATACAATGGAAAATACTGAGCCATTAAAAAGATGAAATATGGCCATTTGTGACAATATGGATGAATTTTGAGAATGTCTAGCTAAGTGAAATAAGTCAGAAGGAAAAAGCCAAGAACCAGACACAGAAAATAAAAGTATGATGTTTACCAAAGGGAAGGGGGGTGAGGATGGGTAAGAGGAAGGTAGAAGAAGATAAAGAGGTCAAACATACGGTGACTGAAACAGACTTGACTTTGGGTGGTGAACACACAATGCAATATACAGATGATGTACTATAGAATTGTACACTTGAAAGCTATGTAATTTTATTAATCAATGTCACCCCAGTAAATTTAATAAAATTTTTTACTCCTGAAATCTATATAATTTTTATTAACCAATGTTGCCCCAATATCCAATTAAAACAACACAGACAGACCAGTATGGTGATTACCAGGGGCAAAGGTGTATGGGGAGGTAAAAGAGGGTAAAGAGGGTTAAATGGTGATGGAAGGAAACTTGACTTGGGATGGTTAACTCACAGTACAATATACAGATGATGTATTATAGAATTGTACCTCTGAAATCTGCATAATTTTATTAACCACTGCCACCCCAATTAAAAATTGTTGGGAACCGCCCTGACTGGTATCAGAGGCTGAAACCCCCACCTAGGCTAAAGCTAAGGGAATGCCCTTGGAACCGTGAGCCAGCAAGGAGACAAAAGCTTATCTCCCTGGCAGGAATGCTGCTTCTGCTGCTTTATTCATGACTGAACCCCAAAAAGCTTGGTCAGTTAGCCAAACACGGGTAAGATTCCCCATGGGGGGAACGACCTAAGCCAGGCACGATCACTTTGGGAGGCCCCCCAAAAGAAGGACTTGGGGGGCTGCAGCAAAAGGGGGTGATGGACCCTCGCTCCTCGGCTTTGACATAGCCTGAGTTCTCAGCGTCTGGGAGAAAATCTCCTTATCTCTTGGTTACCTAGTTCCCTTGCTCCACCTAAGCCTAAAACAATGACAGGGTGGTGCAGCTCGGTACTGAGAAGTGCGGATTCCCCAGGGTGATCAGGCCTAAGAAAGAATATGTAAATTACTGTGAAACCTTCTTTGTTTAGAATGCTCTCAGTTGAATGAGAAGGGTCTTAGGAGGAAGTTAGTTTGTTCCTCAGTCTTACAGCTCTTTGACCCCAACTCAATAGACCGGCAGAGTTCTTTGTTTTCTATAGTTCCTTACTTCCCCTAATGAGTACTGTACTTTACCTGAATTATTATGCAAAATGAGCCCAATAAAAGCAGGTATGGACGGTAAATCAGCGCGCTCCCCACTAGGGGGGGTGGCCATTTCGTCCCTACTTCCCCACAGAAACTAGTTTGTCTCTGTGCATGTTGTTTTTTCTCGCGTGTTTATCGTCGAGCCATCCACAGCGTGCCGTGGTCACTGCTGGCCGGTGACCCACGCGCAACAAAAAATAAATAAAAGAAATGAATAAATATCATAATTGTTTCCATACGCAGTTTCCTTTAGGCAGAATACTCCAATTGCCTTTGTTCAATGGCCTTTATCTACTCCATTGAGGATGCCTAGTAAGGCACAGAAAGTGTCTTTGTGATTAGATTAACCTCTAATAATTTTTTCTCTTTTTAAAAATTTTATTCCATTTTAATTATATCTTAGTGATTATACTATTACAGTTGTCCTGATTTTTCTCCTTTGCCCCCCTCCACCCAGCATCCCCTACTCCTTCAGGCACCCCCCACACACCATTGTTCATGTCCATGGGTTATGTGTATAGGTTCTTTGGCCACTTTCAAGTAAAGTATAGTTCCTTTACTATACTGTACTTTACGTCCCCATGATTATTCTGTAACTACCAATTTGTACTTAATACCTTCATCTCTCACCTATTCTCCCACATCCACCCTCCCATCTCTATCTTTAACCTTTGGCATTTTAACTATGATATCTCTTGGGGTGGGCCTTCTTCTGTTCTTTTTGGGATTCTCTGTGTTTCCTGGATGTACATGTCTATTTCCCTCACCAAACTAGGGAAGAAATCCCTCATCACTCCTTCAAACAGATTTCCAATTACTTGCTATTTCTCCTCCACCTCCAGAACTCCCATGAAGTGAATGCTAGATTGTTTAAAGTTGTCCCACAGGCTCCTTACACTATCCTTGTTCTTTTAGATTCTCCTCTCCTCCTATTGTTCTGATTGGTTGTTTTTTACTTCCTTATGTTCCAAATCCTTGATTTGATTCTCGGCTTCATCTGCTTCACTGTTATTTCCCTGTAAATTGTTCTTTATTACAATTACTGCATCCTTCATTTCTTACTTGATCTCTTTTATGCTGCTGAGGTCCTCACTAAGTTCCTTGATCACCCTTATAAACAATGTTTTGGAGTCTGCATCTGATAGAGTCCTTATCTCCATTTCTTTTAGCTCTTTTTCTGGAGTTTTGATCTGTTCTTTCATTTAGGCCATGTTTCTGTCTTCTTGTTTTGTCAGCCTCCCTGTGCTTGTTTCTATGTATTAGGTAGAGCTGCTTTGACTCCGTGTCTTGGTAGTCTGGCCTAATATAGTAGGTGTCCTGTAGGGTCCAGAGGCACAACCTCCTCTCTCACCCAAGGTTCAGTACTTAAGGTGCCTTTGTGTGTGCTGAGTACACCTTCCTCTTGTAGTCGAGGCTTAGTTGCTGTTGGCAGATCAATGTGAGGGATTTAGCCAGACCTACAAGGATTGGCTTTAACCACTCAACATCAACCTTCACCATCTATGGAGGATCAGCTGTGCGGTTGAGGGGGGAAATGTGGATGCAGGGTGGTGGTGCTCTGATATGGTCTGTACCTGTCCACTGGGTGTGCAGGCTTTAGGGCTTTTCAAGTGGTGCAGTCCAAGTTCAGCTCCCTCTGGTATTCTCCCTGGGAGCACACTGCATGAGCTATAAAGCAATATGAGATGGCTACTACTTCGGCTGGACTTGGATATTTCCAGAAAAAGCCAAGTTGTAAATCTAGGCTGCTGCTTCCAGGCCTGGGGCTCACTGAGAGCAGCTGTTGTTTGTTTGAAAGGATTTGGGAAGTTGTAAAGACCATTCACATGGAAAAGCAGCTTGAGTGGGCCAATAAGTTGGATGGGGCAGACTTTGGGGATCTCTAAGGCAAGGCAGTGTTAGCCACATTGATGAAATCTTAGATACAGCACCAGTCTGCCAGATCTGATGGGGTAGGACCCAGAAAAGTACAATGGCTTCTTCTTGCCTTGATGTCAGATGCCTAACCACCCCCTGTATGCCACTGGTGCCCCTCAAGCCACCACCGCATTACAGGAGCCCTGAGGGATGGAGTCTGAGTAGGTGAGTCTACATCTACATTCTTTTTTTAAAAAAAAAATTATTTTTGGCCCTGGCTGGCATAGCTCAGTGGATTGAGCACGGGCTGCAAACCAAAGTGTCGCAGGTTCAATTCCCAGTCAGGGTGCATGCCTGGGTTGCAGGCCATGACCCCCAGCAACCACACATTGATGTTTCTCTCTCTCTCTCTCTCTCTCTTTCTCCCCCCTCCCTCCCTCCCT